ACCCTGGGCCGCTGCAGCAAGGATTCAGCCTCGGCACATGGGTCACCAGCTCTACCGACTGACCTAGCCGGGCGTCCCTAGGAAGTAATTTTAATAGTCAAGTACCAATCTTGATCGCTACATTCAATGAGTACATGTAGAGTCAGCAAGAAAACCAGAAAACTTACAACCCCAACTTATTTATTTCACAGCTGTCACTCAAAGCAAGACATTGTAACTCTTACTGAACACAAGTCGCAATGGCAGGATACTGCTAAATGTTAAAACTGTGTAACAGCTGAAGTACAAGAAGACAAGGTTCATCAGTTGACTCAGTCATGTCAGTTACTTAGGAGGTGAAGACCTGCTTAGACTAGCAGTTGGATTGTTTTTAATATGCTTGTTATATATTCATGTCTTTTCCTTCAGATTCTGCAGAGCATTGCAAACCATGTCTTGTTTACAAAGGAAGAGCACATGAGGCCCTTTAATGACTTTGTGAAGAGCAACTTTGATTCAGCCAGGAGGTAAGACACTTGGAGCATGATGCTAACTGCCTTCATTCAGTCTCTGAAAACAAAAATCCCCATCAGTCTGCACTCTCCTCACTCCACCACAGGTTTTTCTTGGACATAGCATCTGACTCTCCACCCAGTGACTCGGTCAATCACAGTCTGTCCTTCATCAGTGACGGCAACGTGCTGGCCCTCCACCGCCTACTGTGGAACAACCAAGAGAGGATCGGCCAGTACCTCTCCAGCAACAGGTCCAAATAGATTCTTTGATAAAACACTGCTGCGTAATTTCAATACTGAACACATTTTTAAGACTGCTTCATAATGATCTTATTCCCAGGGACCACAAGGCCGTAGGCAGACGACCTTTTGACAAGATGGCGACACTGTTGGCCTACCTGGGACCTCCTGAACATAAACCTGTGGCTGACACTCACTGGTCCAGTCTCAACCTGACCAGCTCCAAGTTCGAGGAGTTCATGACCAGGTAGGGTTCCTGCCAGCCTCTAATTTAGCATAATGTCTCTGCTGTGCCTCATATTGCATTCTGTAGCTGTAATATTTATTGAACATAGACAGATAGCTGCGTGGGCTATTCCATCGTTAAACCATCATCAATTAAGCAGGTAAAAGGTCTGGAGTTGATTCCAGGTGTGGCATTTGCATTTGGAAGCTGTTGCTATGAACCCATAACATGCGGTCAAAGGAGCTCTCAATGGAAG